TTCTCTTTCTAATTTTCCTGTAAAGAACATGGATGACATGTGCAAGTAAAAAACGCATACGGTATTTAAAGTAGCATCTGGTTTCTCTGACTTCCTCCACCCTCACTGTTCTCTCCCTCTCTTGCTTTAGATGGTGTCGTATTGGTTGATCCCGAGCTCGTGAAGGGAAAGAAAGGTGAGATGGCGCTCGTTGTCCTCGGTGGAGGGACAGGCGGGGCTGCGGCCGGCTCTGGGAACGGGGCCTTCGTGCGGAGGGACGGGCGGGAAAGAGGAGGGCATGCGCTCGGCGCCAGGCCTGCTCACCCCCCGCTCCCTTGCGCGATGCCCAGGACAAGGTTCCTGGTCATGCCGGAGCTGGCAGGACTCGGCGAAGCCATCGTCCAGGGCAGCGGATAAGCGGATGGTAGACGGAGCCCAGGCCTGTCGCTCCTAATCTGTGCTAGGCGCAGACTCAGGGCTCCTTGGTGGCTTTATCCAAAAAGTGGAAAACCATACCTGCTGGGCGGCAGGTGGAATAAAACCCGGAATTTATTTCTATGCCTCCTTCCGTGGTTCTGAACCGCGGTGTCACGGTGCCCTTGAAGGTCTCTGGCAGTTGTGATGTGTGTGGCAAGGAACTTGTTACTAATCCCAGTTGCGTAAACTAAATTAGAACGGATTCAAGCTATCCTTATGATAATGTCACTGACTCAGTTCCATTCTAAATATGGCTTTTTGAGTGGTTGCTACTGGCAACCACAAGGCATTGTTCCGAACCCTAGAAGTGCCCACTGGAATATGTCAGCTATGAGGCTCTCAGCATCGAGGGGGCATGGCCAAAATGGGGTCCCCAGCTGCCCCCTGTGCCGTCTCCACCTTCCTCCTGGGTGCCCTGCTTCTCTCTGGCACCAGGAGGAGCCTGGTGGAGTCCTAAAAGCCCGTGCCCTCGGCCAGAGAAGGGGGCCTGCATTCAGGGAAGGCCCCTCCTGGTGAGGGCAGGCGTGAGGCCGGCCGTCTCCGGGCACCTCGAATGAGGGGTGGGCGAATGGTCAGTGGTTCTTCTGAGTTGGTGGCAAAGGGCAGTCACCCTCGGGGCTGACATAGGCAAAATCCGCAACCAATAGCTAGCAAGTACTGAGGTGCCACTTCTGCTGTGCTTTATATTCGAGAAATATGTGCTTTGTGTCTTTTTCAAAACCTGCGTAGTGAGCTTTCGTGCAGTTCTCTCGGTCCGCTGGGGGCACACTTGCAGTCGCGAACAGAAGGCGGAACGAGTTTGCGCCCAGCAGTCCCCCCGCGCTCCACCCCGACAGCCTGCCCCCAGGACCCGGCAGCCGCGCTGTCTCAGAGCCTCCTGAGGTCACTGAGCTGCTGGATGAAGGGACGGAGGGCAGGATGGGGACAAGGGAGTCGGGTGGACAGCGATTTGAGTTCTCTGCCGTAGACTTCCATTTTGGCAAAATGATGCGGTTGGAAGAAAGATGCTTTCAAACCTTCTCGCATACCCTGTAGAGTAATGAACAGTAACCCCGGGGAATGTGCTGATTCTCTAAAAATGCGTGGGCCAGCTGCATAGTACGGTTCCCTCAAACCCCGTCGCTTCCAGATGCTAAATGTTGGAACCCCGCTGCCCACACCACGCCGCCTGGTGGTGGACGCCGGGCCGAGGGCACGTCTGACGCTGTCTTCGTCTTTTTCCCAGTGTATGTCTCTCTGACCTGCGCCTTCCGCTACGGCCAGGAGGACATCGACGTGATGGGCCTGAGCTTCCGCAGGGACCTCTACTTCTCTCGGGTCCAGGTGTACCCTCCTGTGGGGGCTGCGAACACGCCCACGAAACTGCAGGATAGCCTGCTGAAGAAGCTGGGGGGCAACACATACCCCTTTCTGCTCATGGTGGGTGACTCCTGGCCCTGGCCCTGCGTCCTGCACCCACAGCACCCTATGATGTGAATAGGGGCACAGGGAAGGGGACAGAGGAAGGACTTCACATCTGTGGGCCTGTAAATTGCACCCTTGAAAGAAATTCTAGATTGCACGGTCTGTGATTGTCTTTTTTTAAGTCCTTCAAAATAGCCTCCCGGCCTTCGAAGGCACCGTTTCAACCCACCGTTTGGATACGTCCCTTTGTCCGACCACCTAATTACATGAGCATGTATTCTCCTTCACGTGCTCTGCTATAAAAAGAAAGGGCACAGAAGTGCCCCTCGGTTGGCCCTGGGGAGTTCTAAGCAGGAAAGCGTTCCCTACAGGACAGGAGATCTTAGTGAAAAGGCGTCATCTTTAGCCTTGTCCACGGTTTGGGGGGTCTCGGGAAATACAGCCCCTCACCTCTCTGGAGGGCCGTGTCTCACCCAGTGAAACCTGATGACCAGTGGTGCTCTCTGAAGTTTGGGGTGAGCTGGATGTGGGGAAGCTACCGCCACCCTCTTTACCAGCATGTTTATTGGCATTAAGACCATATACTCCTCCAAAGCTATATGCTTCAGCCTTAAAAAGGAAGAAAATTCTGACACGTGCTACAACACGGGTGAGCCTGGAGCACACTACGCAAGTGAAGGGAGCCAGTCACGAAAGCACAGACACTGTACGACTGCACTCACGGGAGGGACCCAGGGTGGTCAGATTCACACAGACAGCAGAACAGAGGTTCCCAGGGGCTGGGGAGGTGCGATGGGGAGTCGGGATGGGGAGTCGGGATGGGGAGTTGGGGTTTAATGGGCACGGAGCATCAGTTTGGGATGATGACAAAGTTCTGGAGCTGGATGGTGGTGATTATTGCAGAATAACGTGGATGTCTGGTACACGATGCCAGTAAACTGAGTATTTGATATGGTTTAAATGGTAAATGGCATTCTATTTGACTACGTTTTTTTTTTTTACAAAATTACATTTTATTATTTTAAAAAGTGATATGGTCCTGGGTGCTTCCATGCATGTGTGCTGGGAGTTTGAGGCACCAGAACCTTTTGGGGACAGCATGTCAACATGTATTGAAAACCTCACAAAATGTGATTTCTCTTCCTCACCATAAGCTTATGGAATTAATTGGCTGAAACTGTGCTAAGGTATATAAAGAAGGATATTTATTGCAGTATTGTATATAAGGGCAAAACATAAAGACTGTTTGAGTAGCCAATAAAGGGGATTGGCCACATTAGTGTGTGTTTCGGGAGCCCTAACAGTGATGGCGCAGAACTGTCTTTCACGGTGCTTTCTGCATAGGGTAGGGTTAATGAAGTGAGTACACCGGGCTAAGGGTGTCTTCATCACTCGGTTCTATTTCTGTAGAACATATACACACGTGTACATCCTTATTTGTGCGTCTGTGCACACGTAGAACATTGTGGGAAGGTCGTGTTCGCAACGCTAATCTGGGTGTCAGCGGTTTGGGTGAATATGTTTTTTCTTTTTTCTTGTTTAACATCTTCATTTTCCAGTTTCTGTGTGAGGATCATATATTACCTGTGGAATGAACCCCCTGAGAGAACGATTTTTTACTTGTTCCTTTCCACAGTTTCCTGACTACTTGCCCTGTTCAGTGATGCTGCAGCCAGCTCCGCAAGACGCAGGCAAGGTCAGTTCAAGAAGAAATGCCACGGATTTGTTCGTTTCTTCGATAGACTTTTAAAAACGGCTTTTCATCATGGAAACCTGTACACATTGCAGGAACTTGGGGTTTTGCCTGAGTGAAGCGGGAGCCGTTGGTGGGCTCTGAACGACAGGCTCTGACTTAGGTTTCCGAAGGGCCACTGGGACAGCCGTGCTGAGGACGGGGTGGGGTTGGAGCCGGCCAAGCACGTGCTATGGAGGGGCGAGTGTGTGAGGGAGGCGTGACGGCAGGGACCAGGGACTCTAGGCACAGAAGAAGTAGTGAGGACGGGAGCAGAGTGACAGGTGCTGGGACCCAAGGATTTAAGGCCTTAAGAGTCACCCGCGTCTGGGATTCACAAGGGAGGGAGCTAAAAGGATAAGACGTGAGGGCAGAGAGAGGATTGCGGGGGCGGGGGCAGTGACGGACGGCAAGGGCTAGGGCGGTGTTTTTCAGTGCGGGGGGCCTGACCCTTTAGTGGTTTGTGAAATCAATGCAGTGCATCAGCAATGGCATTTTAAAAATGGGATGGGCTGGAATGGACTAGAATAGAGTAGAAGAAATGGAACGGAATGGGAAACCTCAGAGTGCTTCACACATAGCAAAGCTAAATATGGTGTCACGAGAGTTGTTTCACACACGCGTGTCTGTTCCGTGGGCCACGTTAGAAATCTTACTTCTGAAACATTTGAAAGCCACTGGCCCAGGAAAACGGGGTGTGGGCAGCCGAGATGGGGGAAGATGAGGGCACTGAGGAAGAGGGGAAGATACAGTCAGCTTCGGCAGGTCTTACAGTGCTTTTAAAGAGAGGCCCGAAATTCAGATTTTTTAGCAAATTTTCTTGATTTTTACAACATTGTACAGGCCAAACAAAGCACCGCCTGTTTCTTCTAGGAGAGGAGCGGGCAGGAAAGGGGGTACGCCTTGGGCCCAGAGAGCCTGGGAGCAGCGTCCAAGTGCCTGGGGACTTGGTGCTCTGCGGCCGAGGAGCCCTTTGTGCTGGGGCTTGAAGGATACATAGGAGTTTGCCAAATAAATATATAAATATAAAGAGAGAGGGAGACAAGCATCTCAGGAAGAAGGAACACATATGCCAGGCCCAATTCGTGGACTAGCGTGGCTCATGCAGGAGCAGCAATAAGGCTGGGGGCAGTGGGTGAGCAGAGCGGAGCTGGCGTGGGGAGCCGTGCATATTTATTCTCAACCTAGAGCTTAGGACTGCTGCGATTCCACAGTTGCAGAACCAATAAATCTGTGGCTTAGATGCCTCTGTGGACGCAGCTGGGTTCACGTACTTGGCTGCCAACTCCACTTCCCCTCCGGGCATTTGGTGCGGGGCAGGTGGGCTCCCCCACTCGGTGAACGTGCAGAGATGAGCGAGGCTCTGGAGGGCTTGTGTGGGAGGCCCAGGGAGTCACATGCTGGGGCTGAGAGTGGAAGGTCACCAGCAAATATGATTGTTTGGCCCCTGCAATGCTTCAAAGTTTTTGTATTTAGTTAATTTAAAAATCAGGTGATTTTGCCCCGAATTCCATGTCCAGTTTATTTTTAAAATTCTAAGAACTGCCAGCATCAGGTGCTGTTGCTGCCTGTCCGTGCTTGGCTGCAACCGAACAGCCAGTGACCACCGGGGTCAGGGCGCACACATCCCCGCAGGGCACTGTGTTGGCCCTGGAAGCACCTGTGCCTCTGGCCCCTGCTGTAGGCAGCAGGAAGTCAGGACCATACACGTACATGGAGTCATGTTTGAGGACAACGGAGCATGTGAGGCGGTGGGAGGCGAGGACCAGCCAGGATGCGAGTCACCCTCCGTGACTCCTGGCACATCAGGAGGCTGACTCCCCTTGCCTGGGGGGCTCTGGGTCCATGGCGCACTCCTCATGCTAATGTCATTATTTTGTTATTAGTATACTTTTTTTATTTGAGACAGAGTCTTGCTCTGTCACCCAGCTAGAGTGCTGAGGCATCAGCCTCGCTCACAGCAACCTCAAACTCCTGGGCTCAAGTGATCCCCCTGCCTCAGCCTCCCGAGTAGCTGGGACCACAGATGCGCACCACCACGCCTGGCTAATTTTTCTATTTTAAGTAGAGCCGGGGTCTCACTCTTTGCTGAGGCCAGTCTCGAACTCCTGAGCTCAAGCGATCCTTCCACCTCGGCCTCCCAGAGCGCTAGGATTGCAGGCGGGAGGCACCGCGCCCGGCCTAGTACACTTCCACATGCAGGCTTCGTGGTGCAGCCTTGCACAGGATATGGCTAAGACACAGAGAGGTGGTGCCACGTCACGTGGCCTGCATCAGCTGTGACCCTCTGTCCTCATGCATGCCCAGGAAGGGGGGTGCTGACTGCCTGTCTGCTCTCTGTCCCCAACAGTGCTGTGGGGTCGACTTCGAGGTCAAAGCGTTTGCCACAGACTGCGCCGATGGCGAAGAGGACAAAATCCCGAAGAGGTGAGAGTGTAGTGAGAGTGGGCGAGGGGTGCGGGGTGTGGGGGCGGAGGTGAGCAAGTGCCCCCACTCTGTCTCTGTGTGGCGGGACTCTTCCCACAGAGCCAGCGTGGCCGGGGTGAGGGTGCTGCTCCAGGTTGGGGCATGTAGGGACTGACCTGCCTACGGATAAAGACAGGGAGTTAGCAACCTCAAGGACTCGTGCAAGTCCCTAAAAGCTTCCAGACTTCCCCTTTCTTTCGTTTTCTTCTTTTAAAATATTTTTACTGTGGTAAAATATATAAAACAGGAAGTCGATAATTTTAACCACTCTCAAATGTACGATTCAGTGGCATTAACACCTTAACTGCTGTGTGAGTTGCATTTAACTCACGCTAGTTTCGAGCCCGGGGCCTCGTGAAGCGTATGTAACTCACACGTCTCTTCACCTTGGGAGCCGCGTGAACTATTTTTCAAGTGCATATAACTCACGCACAGAAAATAATATAAAATAACACAGTTTTCATTAAACGAGAAAGGCTTGTTTTATTTTTGAAGTTTTTATTCCATTTTCGTAATAAAATACTGTGGCCCCAAGGAAAAAAAATTTTTTTTTCTAATGAGGCAGTCACTGGGTTAACATTCACAATGTCGTGTAACCATCACCACTCTCTATACCCAAAACTTTTCCACCGCCTGGAACAGCAAGTCCGTAACCAGTAAGCAACAGCCCCTCTTCTCCCAGCCTCCCAGCCCCCGGGCTCAGCTTTCTTTTTATACTGTGTCGTTCACATTTTCTCCTCGTGCTCCACATACGCATCTCTGGACACGTACGATAATGCATGGTAGTAATAGTGCGTCACGTGACACATAAGGGACATGGTGCAGTCACACATCAGCCTTACCCAGAAGGAGGCAGAGCCGGAGCCCGACAGAGGCCATAAGTGGCTCTGGAGGGCGTGGCCCAGCCCCGTGCCACCTGGCCGGTGGCATACCAGAGGAGGGACCGGAAACCAGATCCTCTGGCTCAGCTCAATGTCCTGTCCCTCTTCTGGTTCATCCCATCTCTTCATTCCTGAAGCATCCCGGTGTGACCGTGGGGAGAGGCCCGAGGCCCTCCTGCGGCGGCCAGGCGCTCATCCCGGGTTCTCTGGGACTTTCTCTGCAGGAGCTCCGTGCGGTTACTGATCCGGAAAGTACAACACGCTCCCCCCGAAATGGGCCCCCAGCCCCGAGCGGAGGCGTCCTGGCAGTTCTTCATGTCTGACAAGCCACTGCACCTCACAGTCTCCCTCAGCAAAGAGGTAACCCACCGACCGTTGCCACGCCCCATGGGGGAGCAGGCCTGGGGATGGCCCGGTGCCCCCTCTTCACCAGCCCCAGCCTCTGACTGTGTGGGTGCATCGCAAGTAGCCTTGTTTCTAAGATAGCTGAAAAAACGACGTTTTTCACAATTTGGAACTAGTTACCCTGACCCTTGGAATAAGGTCAGATTGGCTTGCATGCCACCCAGGAGCCGTCCTGACAGACGGGGACAGGACAGGGGTGTTTCTCACACCCGCCACAGCTGTCCCTGCCCTCCCTCCACCCTGTGGGCCTCATTCGCTAATGCAGCATGGCCAGGTGTGGCATCCCAAATTCTTTACTGCCCAGGAAATTTAAGTTTCACAGAAGCCACAAGGGGTGATGTCATCTATTAGAGGTGTCATGGTGGGAGGCTGTCTCTGGTCCCTCTGGCCACCAACGGTCGTGTGCACACTGTGTGCGCATCTGTGTGTGGGTGTGCACACATGCGAGGGTGCACCCACCCAGGGCTAGGTTGCACGGGGTCACTGCTGGAGGTTTCCTTTCCTTTCACTCACCCTGCCCCTCATAACCTCATGACTCCACTGAAGACCCCCCTAGATTCCCCCATGTGACGGTCAGAACTCTGTTTTCCTCCCCTGCCTCCCAGGGACTGGACGGAACGTGTTCCGGACCCTTCCCTGGAGGGCTGGCCATCATTTCCTCTTCCTTAAGAGTACAGGAATTCAGCCGCCTTTACTCTAGCTAAGGGGATGGAGATGAGTCGAGAAAGCCCTGAGAGTAAAGGTGCCACCACACTCTGTTCTCCTTTTCTGACTTGTCTGCCGACTTTTCCAGATCTACTTCCACGGGGAGCCCATCCCTGTGACCGTGACTGTGACCAATAACACGGAGAAGACAGTGAAGAAGATTAAAGCACTAGGTGAGTAGGACCTTCTTCTCAGAACTAGAGGGCAGAGTCTTCTGGAATTTCTCAGCCTGACCGTACTTCCTGAGGAGTACTTCTCTGGCCCAATAAGGCCCTTCTGGGTCCGTGGAACTGCCCGTGTGTCTCTGTTGTCATGGGCAGCAGGGTGGCAGAGGCAGGAAAACCTGAAAGGGCATCTCATTCAACCCGGTGCCCGCTTAGGGCTGGCTTTTGTCTTGGGACAATATCCCTGACAGGTGATCTTCCTGCCTTTCCGTGGTCATGCCCTCCCGGCGGGGCCCCCTATGCCAGATGGTTTCTTGGAGCGCAGGAGGGAAGATGCTCATTAAATAAGGCAGAAGATGTTGGAAGGGGCTGGGTTTGGGGAATGAGAGCAGATGGTGAGTTCTGGGACGCTGGCAGATAGTGCACCTTTGAAGGACACCAGGGGTATAGCTCCGAGGAGAGGAGGTGTCTCCTGGGAGCTGCAGTCTCCAGAGACTGAGTCATGGGTGGGAGATGACACAGAGCCAGTTACGGGTGACCAGAAACGGGCTGAGGACAGAATTTGGAAACCGCAGCCTTGACGCCGCAGGCTGAGGGCCGAACCTGGGAAGTAGACTAAAATGGTCATCTAAGAGGTGAGAGCAGCGTGTCTCTGGAAGGCCAGCAGGGCCAAGCACGTGCGTGGAGGGACCTGGGGCTGATCACCTGACTCCTGTCTTCCCTTTGCAGTGGAACAAGTGGCCAATGTGGTTCTCTACTCAAGCGACTATTACGTCAAGCCCGTGGCGACAGAGGAAACACAGTGAGTAGCTGATTGGGCTTCCATTTCCTGGGCCGCCTGGCCTTCTTCGTCAAGTTCCTCTTTTGTTCATGGCTGAAGAGGGAACTAGGACGCTCAATGAGCGTGCCAGCCTTCCGCTTCCTTCCCCTTTCTCCCTTCAGGGGCCGCAAAGCGAGTTAGCGTCTTACCCCATGTTCGCCTTCCGCCTCCGTTGCGCGTCTCACGGAGGTTCCGAGGCTCAGGCCAAGCTAAAGAATGACGGACAGGAGAGAAGTGCAGTCGGAAATGTCACCATGGGAACAGTAGGGCCTTTTTATTTGTCCTGGGAATGGGTGGGTAGGAGTAGATACTATTTCTGTCCCCACCAGAGAGTCAAATGAACTATCTACCCTGGCTAGGATTCCCCATCATTGGACCTTCTCAATTTGAAAATCTTGTACCAATGACAGCTAGATTAGAATGATGTATCCGTTTTTCTTTTCTTTTCTTTTTTTTTTTTTTTTTTGAGACAGAGTCTCATTTTGTTGCCCGGGCTAGAGTGCCGTGGCATCAGTCTAGCTCACAGCAACCTCAAACTCCTGGGCTCAAGCAATCCTCCTGCCTCAGCCTCCCGAGTAGCTGGGACTACAGGCATGTGCCACCATGCCCGGCTAATTTTTTCTAGATATGTTTTTAGTTGTCCAGCTAATTTCTTTCTATTTTTTTAGTAGAGACGGGGGTCTCGCTCTTGCTCAGGCTGGTCTCGAACTCCTGAGCTCAAACGATCCGCCCACCTGGGCCTCCCAGAGTGTTAGGATTATAGGCATGAGCCATCGCGCCCGACCCATGTATCCATTCTTTCTTAGCCCGTTGCTGTGAATGACTTTTCTCCCCTTGTTAAAATCAAAACCAAATGAGAATCCTGCAATGGCTCCTCCATGCTGGCATGAGAGACCTGCCCACCTTTGCTCTGTGCCAGGAAGTCAGACAGATTTATCTACTACTCGGGCTTGGCAGTGGGGAGGAGAGACACCCTGAGAGGAGAGCTGGGGCAGGTCTTTCCTCTCTGCCTCGCTGGCATGTTCTAAGCACCATTGTGTGTAACAAATATTACCAGGGTTAGAGGAAGGTTGGAGCTGGTAGTGAGGAAAGACAAACTGTTTCACTACGATACTATTACATTATATTAAAAATGCAATTTTAAGAAAAACTGTTACTATTTACTCAAAACAGATTCAGCCTTAAGTTGCAATACAGGTCTGCAGGGGAGGAAAGCAGGAAAGAACTGCCACCTTTTCTGCCAGGCCTGGGCTCTGCCCTACCTTTTAGGGTAGTCCTTGTGCACCCTGGTGCCCTGGGGGTCTTGGCCCTGGCTCGCCTTTCAGCGTATGCTCAACAGCAACAGGCAAATGCTCCTGGCTGAGTTTTCCTCTAATATATAGCCTGTTTTAAACTCTTGGGTGCATTTTGGGCCAAATGATTCCCAGGAAACTGGAAATCATTCCAGGGTCCCCCGCAAAGGTGAGGGTAGGCTGGAAGCTGAGCCAGGTCATGCTAGCAGATCTCAGGCTAATGGCCATCCAGAAGGCTGCAGAGCATGAGCCATTGTCCTAGAACCCTGTGGTTCCTGGGGCTCTGGTGGGCAGACCTCCTTGGAAACAGGTCAGACCTGACTCCGGAGCCACTCCCCACCACCCAATCCCAGATCCTGAGCACTCTGGGAAGTGGCCCCAGGGCCTTGGCACACTCCTCTGGCAAGCTCTGCAGCAGGAACGGCTCTCATCCGAACCCAGCCCAGGGCCCCCTTCCTATTCCAGTCACCTTTATGATGCAATTTCTGCCTCTGTCAATGCTACTGCCCAATTAAGCTTATAAAGAGAGGTTCCACCCCGACCCAGATGGGAGGACGTGGGCCACCCTGGGCTCAAGCAAAATTCTGTAAAGAGCTGCCCATATACACTAAAGGCAAGTTAAGCTGCAGCTGCTATAGACTCCCCAGGGAAATCAAACAGGGCAGTCCTTCCAGAAGGAGGCAGTTCAGACTTCCAGCTCTCTTGGAACAGGCTCAGGAAACAGTCCTGATGCCAGCTCCTGGGCAGGGTTTTCAGGCCACACTCTGCCTTCTTCTGGTGGCTATAGGATGGAGGGTGGGTTGCTGGCACACATGGACTCTGCCGTCAGAGACTGTGCAGCCGTGTGACCGTGGGCACACTTCCCGTCTGCAAAACGGGGATCTTGAGAGCACCTTCTTGATATAGGGCTATGAGAGGATAAGGTGACAGGCTGTGAGGACAGGCCTGAGACCAGGCCTGGCACAGGGTGTGCACACGAGTGGCAGAGCCGACCTCCCAGCCTCAGAGGATGTACCGTGATCCCAGCGATGCTGCCAGGCCCTGGAGAAACGCTCGCTGCTGTGTCCCCAGCTCAATCCCAGACCCACCCTTTGGCATGGGGTCCCTGCCATCTGTCAGTTGTTGGGAAACCCACAGCCCGACTGATAATCAAGATCTGGTAGAGAAGGGCATGTGCTTCTTTGAACCCAAGCCGGTCCCGTGTGGGGTTCGCAAATGGAGGGCCCCGCGTTGCCCTTCTCCTCCACCCACCACGCAGTCACACTCGATCCCCCAGGAGCGACGGCGTTCAGCAGCAAGAGCCTTTCCAGCCTGGGTGTGTTGCAGACACCAGCCACAGTGCTCTGCAGCCCACTGCGTTGTTCACAAAGTCTCAGCAGGAGATTGACTCTTGCACCAGTTGGTCTAATTTAATGCCATAGAATGTTCTAGAAATTCAGCAATTCAGAGCAGGCCAAGATGCTTGAGGAAATGCCCTACTGTTGCTGCCAGCCCACTCCGGGATTTCAGTAACACTGTTCTGCTTCTCATAAGGCAAATTCACAGGCACCCAAACTGATCTTCCTAGTGAGTCCATACGGATACTTCGATCCTGGAAGATGCTAAATGGCAAGTAGGGTCTGGTGGGGTTGACGGTAGCTTTTATGGTTATAAATCTCCTCTCTGTTTTTCTTCCTCCAGAGAAAAAGTGCCACCAAACAGCACTTTGACCAAGACGCTGACGCTGGTGCCCTTGCTGTCCAACAATCGAGAAAGGAGAGGCATCGCCCTGGACGGGAAGATCAAGCACGAGGACACGAACCTCGCCTCCAGCACCATGTGAGGCTCGAGGCTCAGGACAAGAGCCGAGACTGATGGGTGGCTCCCCTTCTCGTTGTGCCCTGGGGTTCACAGGCGCGCACAGGCAGCACGACGGCCTGGCGTTTGCGGTGTGGAGCGCAGACTCAGGGGCCCAAACAGGGATCCCGTCCCACCCTGGTACGAGGTGGGGGTTACACCTGTGGGCTCTGGAGACGTCTCTGCGCTAAGCCCAGCTCCACTGTCCGCCCTCTGGGCGACCCGGGGCAAATGACTTGAGCTCTCTGAGAACCTCAGTTCTCTCGTCTGTGAAGTGAGGGTGATAATAGTCCAATCTCATAGAGTGGCCATAGGGATTAAGAGACAGTCCATGTAAAATGTGCTGCTTGTCACCCAGGAAGTGCTCCAGAAATGTCAGATACTACTTTCCCAAGCATCAGAGCTAGTGTAGTGCCCTGAGCAGATAAACCGGGCAATGCAATTGGCTGAAGTCATTCATTTATTCATTTCCATCAGGAAAAGTAGAGAACGAGAGGTCCTGGTGGCCACAGCTGTTGACTGAATATAATGAAAATCAGCACTGATCTGCTGAGCTGGCTCAGAGATGCGCTGGCCCACTGAGGCGGCAGATCTAGCAAGGGCTGCGCAGGGAGGCTCCGAGGCAGCGCGCGCTGCTGCTCTGGGCTGCCCGTCAGGCTTCTGCTCCGGGGGCGTGTCTGCTGGTGAACCCTGAGCGTCTGGGGTAGGAGACCCAAGCTCGAGGCCCGTTCACTGCCACCTCCCCAAGTGATGTGCTGGGGGCTCCCCAGGAGACCACCTCTGAGGTGATGCCAACGGGCAAGGGGCTGGCGTGTTTGACCCCATGGCCTGACACTCACATTCTCTGAGACCAGCAGGGTAGAGAGCAAACATTTGGCCTAAAGCAGGTAGGAGTCAAAGAATAAATGTATTTTGTCCTCTTTAACACATTAACTGCCACGTGAGTTGTCTTTGACTCACACTAGTTTTGAGCCCGGGGCCTCGTGAAGCGTATGTGACTCACGTCTCTCCACCTTGGGAGCTGTGTGAACTATTTTTCAAGTTGCATCTAACTCACGCACAGAAAACAATACAAAATAACATATTTTTCGTTAAATTAGAGAGGATCGTTGTTTTTTGAAGTTTTTGTTCTCTTTTCCTAATGAAACACCATGGCCCCAAGGAAAATTTTTTTTCCGGCAGGGCAGTCAATGTGTTAAAGGTGCTCTAGGGCCCAGCGCGCCGAGGGAGTTCTTTGGGGAGCACTGTGGTCCTGGAATCACGTGTCCAAGGTGCCTCCTATGGGAGGCACAGCACCTGCCTGGCCACCACCTCGGCTCCCTTCCCAGAGCTGTCAGCACAGCTGCAGCCTCCAGGGTTCTGCAGCATGTTTGCTGTCATCACTCACGGCGTCTTAGCTACGTGCTCACGATAGTCTTTCCATACCTCAGTTCCTGCTCTTAGCACCCTCAAATACTCCTGCCTTCCGTGCTGGATCACATGCGGGAACAGCCTGTGATGAAATGCCCCGCACCGTGCCTGGCAGATAGTAGGAATTCAGTCCGTACTAGTGGAATCCGGAATCAAGCTTTTGTCGAGGAAGGTCACCTTACACTGTTGTCGGGGCACACCTGAGGGTCTCATGCACCCCGTTCATTCACTTACACTTTGACTGAGCTCTCCCTGGGTGCCAGGCCCGATGCTGAGTGCTGGGGACACAGAGCTGTCGGGTATGGCCAAGAACAATCAGGATTCCCTGTGTGAGGGCTATAACAGAGGGTCCACATGCACAGAGCGGGGAGACCCAGTGCTGCCTGCAGGTGTCCAGGAAGGCTTTGCGAAGGGGGGAGTACTTCAACTTGAGGTCCTGGGGCCAGGAGCAAAGGAGGGCGTTCTGGGGCAAGTTTGTGTTTGGCAAGGCTGGTGCATGGGGGCGCTGGGGCACCGCCAAGGATGAGGGGCAAAGGCTCCCTGCCAAGACTCGAACCTGGAAGACGTCTCAGGAGGAGGAGCCTGGCGAGTGGGAGAGAAGTTGCTGAGATAACCCAGGCAGGCAGAGCCTGCAGGAGGACGGGTGCCTTCCAGGGATGGCAGTTTGCGCAGGTGGGGGGAGGGAGGAGCCAAGAAGGGTGAGGTTTCTGGCTGGATGACCAGGTGCATGAGCGTCAGCAGAGGCTGAGCACGAGGAAGAGGGAAGCACGCTCTGTCCTCTGTGAACTTCTTGGGACAAGACACAGGAGTTCCTCCAATGCCCCAAACATGTAAAGTTCTAGGACTTTGGCAGCTTGATTGAGTTCACCAATTCCTGGAGAAGATGCCCCCACGCCTGTGCGCTGGGATGGGAGGGTAAAGGCTTACTTTACTGCTCTCCTGCATCCTCTCCTTTTCCCTTTTCTTTGGGCAGCATTAAGGAGGGCATAGACCGGACCGTCCTGGGGATCCTGGTGTCTTACCAGATCAAGGTGAAGCTCACGGTGTCGGGGTGAGTGTCCCAGAGCCGATGCTCGGTCTGCTCTGTCTTGGTGACTACTTTCCTGAGTGACTGGGAGGCAGAAAGCAAGGGAAAGCCCACAGCTTCTACTGATTTCCAAGTAGAGTTTGGAAGAGATTTAATTTGTCTAGTTTCACAATTTTGTCCAATATAACGTCATGTGGAAAAAGGTAGAAAAGCAGACTGTGAAACTTGTGCGCTACTAGTACCACTTTGCAAAAATAGGTGTGCATATGCCCAGGTGGTAGAAGTTGACAGACAAGAATGAAAATTAGTTGAATGTTATATTGTGCTTCAGAAAAAAAATAACAGCTATAAAATGAACTCTTAGTAAATCTTCATTTATTTACATCTTAGAAGGCAAACATCCATAAAGGGAGGACCTTCCCTTCCCTTCCCAAACGTGTAATCACAGGATTTGGGGGGCTACTTTTCATGCAAGAGTGCAAATATCTGAGTTCTAAGGAAACAGATTTCCATTTTCCTGTGAAGCCAATTTCTTTCATTGTTTTGATCTCATCAAAAGAGAAAAACTTTAATCCCAGCACTTTGGGAAGCTAAAGTGGAAGGATCGCTTGAGGCCCATAGTTTGAGACAAGACTGGGCAACATAGCAAGACCCCATCTCTAAAAAAAAGAAAAAGATTAGCCAGGAGTAGTGGCATGTGCCTGTAGTCCTAGGTAGATGGGAGGCTGAAGCAGGATGATTGCTTGAACCCAGGAGTTTGAGGTTATAGTGAGCTATGATCTCGTCACTGCACTCTAGCCTGGGTGATAGAGCAAGACCCTGTCTCCAAAAAAAAAAAAGAAAAAACTTGAATTCTCATTTTCCTTTCAAATACCATTGCCAAAGGCTCTTGTCTTTTACCGTAATGAGCCTTGGGTAGTTCAGCTGTCAAAGGAGAGTCCATGCGTACGTTCTATATTTCTAAGTAGGTAAGAATTCCCCAAATTTTGGTGGGGGGCAACAAAGTAGAACACAGGTCTATTCTGCGTATTTTTTAGCACAGTGTTTGTATCTGTTGTATTTTTCAAAGTGGATAGTGCTTTTTTTTTTCCTTTTCCCTGAGAGGATCTGAAAACAGGGTGGAGTTTCTTTCAGCAGTCCAGGATAGTGACTAGCAGGCATCTCGCAATGCCCTCTGTGGCTTATTCTTGAATGTTATGGCTTGAACCTAAGTGAGTCCTCATTTTAATCCTCCTGAGAAAGAGATGGACTCACAGGTGAGAGGAGGAGTGAAGTTGAGCGTTGAAGGACGCAAAGATCCTAGAAGCTGTGGTTAGGGAGCGGGGGCCATGAGGACTGGGCTGTGTCCTGCCTCTGAACAATGGGACATGAAGTCACGTTCCGCTGCGGACAGTCACCGTCGCCATTTGTTTTGTGTTTTCTAGCTTTCTGGGCGAGCTCACCTCCAGGTAAGCCTCTTCACCTCCCTTCTCCACTTGATTCTCGGGGTATCAAAGACAACAAACCTGGGGGTCCCAAATAGCAACCTGCGAAAGCTGGTTTCTCGCAGTTCTGCTGGGAGGTGTTGAGAAACGATGCCCACTGCCTTTGGAAGCATCCCCAAGACCTTCCTGACTTCTTTCCCTCCTTCTTTTTGTGTAAATCCAAGTCACCCCAAAGCCCTTTAGCTTTTGGGATTTGGTGGTTCCTGCTCATCTCTGTTCCGTTCTGTAGCAAGGCAGCGTGCCCAGCCCACAATGCACCAGCTTCACAGAGATTTCAACATATTAAAAACGGTGTACCCTGTGGCAAAGAATATTTTTAGAAACTATCCTTTCTCCAGGATTTCACCTCGTCTTTGCCCACAATATCACGTCACTGCAACCAATAACCACGAGTAAGAGGAACCTAAACATACTGGCTGCCTCGGTCATGTGTGCGGGAGGTTTCTAGACCACGTTCCAGGGAAGACATTTAAAATTCCTACTTGATCACTTTCTGGTTTATCTTTTGTTTTGTTTTTATTTATTTATGTTTTCCCCTTGGTCAATTTGCATTGTTTTATTTTCAATCTCACTGAATTAATCATCTTTCAGCTTGGGCCTGGGGATCTTTCGTGAATCTCGGTAGCCACAGCTCCTTGCTGTGTGATTTACAGCTCTGTGTGCGCGTGTGTGTTCTCGCTAATCAGCGTTCTTCTTTCCTTCCAGTGAAGTGGCCACTGAGGTCCCCTTCCGCCTCATGCACCCCCAACCCGAGGACGCAGGTCAGTCGTGTCCTTTCTTGGCTTTCTCCAGCTCTGCACTACTTGCAGATTTATGGATTTTAGTCTTTCTTGACCACACCTCTGAGCATGGGCGCAGCCAGGTGCGATTCCTCATCGGCTCCGTCCTGAGCCCGCCCCGCTCTGGATGGGGCGTGGAGGATGTAGGTTCCTTGCCTTGGAGGGGGACAATCTGGTGAGGTTTTACCAGGAATGAGTTAAAAGTAGATGCTCTGCTGTCCATTTAGATTTAAAGTTGATTTAGGTAAAAAACAGATTTGAGAGCCCGAGTTTTTTGTACAACAAAAGCCCTCTTGTTTCATCTGGGAGCGTTAACAGGCATTTAGAAGATGATAAATATTTTTGACGGGGCCATTGTGATGAGAATACAGAAAATACGAGAAAAGAGGGTCGGCCTTGGTTCCTGACACCTCAGCTCATTTGAACTGTAAATGCACTGGCTCTTGTGTGGATGTTAAGGCACTGGTTGTCCAGCTCTGTGTACATGCTAACGCCATTGCTCTGTACACCAGGAAGAGGTGAACTGTATGGTATCCAAGTTCGATCGCCATAAATGTCTTTCTAAAAACGTAAATGAAGCAGCAAAAATAATACAGTTGCAATCTCAGAAATTGTGAGAAAAAATTCTCCACCGTGTGTTAAGGCAGTTGAGTAAACAGGAAAGAAAAACGGACCTGTCTGAATGAGAACTCTGCATAGCTATAGTAGTAAGAAATATTTTAAGTAAAAGGGGCATAAACAAGCACGGTTTATTTTTCTCATACTTTATAAATGGCTTTTCTATGTTGATAATGAAATGCCATTTACACATTAGAATGAGCACTCATACTCATTTTAGGTTTCCTCTCAAAATTATTTTGCCTGAAAGTGTCTTTTCCAAATATTTTGCATTCAGACCCTCAGTGCACTTAGCCAAAACCTTCCCTTGGAGAAAAGTACAGTCTAGTCATACATTTTTAATTCATTATGCTTATATCATTAGAAGATTATTTTTAACTGTGTGAGATTAAGCTGCCTTCTGGTTCCTATCAAGGACATTGCAAAGGTGGCCACCTGAGGAGATGCCATAGTTTATGTTGGGTTGTTTTCTGGAGCTTTGAACAGACTTTGTGACTTAATTTGGGACAAGCGGAGTTATTCTTCCTCCACAGACATTTTCGTATTCTAGTCATTATGGCCCTGACATTGAACTTATCACAATGTCAGGACGAAACAATGATCTTTTGTACCATGAGACAAAACCCACATTTTGTTTGTCCGTTCATCTGTTGGTGGACATTTGGGTCCCTTTACAGGGAGCGAGGATTAGGACAAATCACCCCATGGTCACAAAACTCTGATTTCTAGAGATCCATGAGTCGCCAAATCTCGTATCTTTATATCTTCTCCGCCTAGTTTCTGGATTCTAAACAGAGAAAGCCTGAGTTGTAGTTAAGCCCTCCCAGAGCCTGAGGCCAAGTAATTTGTAGGCAGTAAGTGCTGTAGAAAGGCCAGGAAGTTTTTATCTCCCCTGTCAAGAGCATCTGTACCGAAGGAGCATTTGAGTCTTCCTGTTGTCCACCTCAAGGCGAGGGACCCAGTTTGTGTCATCTGATCCCTTAGCACTGTGGGCTGCAGGCTGTTTCTTGCCCAGGGGATGTTTGGAGGAGCCAGGCTCTCTAGGTCCCCGGTGCCTAGCAACCGGCATAGAAACTTCCCTCACGGTGCTGGGGATGAGACACAGAAGCCGTGGCTCACCGTCAAGCCACTGCTGTGCTCCCAAAAAGCGGCAGGTGCGGTTCTTTAACTACACCAGTGCTTTCCTAGGTGGGCAGAAAGCTACGAAGAAACAAAAACCACTCAAACCAATAGCAATTAATCCGGGGACACAAAACACATGCAAACAACCCAACAGAAAGAGATCAGCGTGTTAACAGAAGTGGAAAACAGAGAGCTGGGGGTGGCCCTCAACCTTTAGCGCACATTTCAGCCCTGGGGTGCTGGTGAACTGTCAAGCCCCAGGTCCTACCCCTCCGGAGCCCAGCAGGGTGGAGGGGCCTGGAGCAGGCACCCTAACAGCGTCTGAAGGGCACTTAGGGAGAAATACTTCGGAAAGAGAAGCGACACGGAGGGGGTGAGGATGATCAGGGCAAGGGTCCTAGGGGTGAGATTGCAGGGGTTTCCTTGGAGGAGAGGAGGGTCATGGACATTGAAAGCGAAGCAGTGGTTAAAGATGCAGGGAGGAAGGGAGTGGGATCGGCAAGAAGCAGGGATCACATGCGAGTACCATGAATTACATGTATCTAGGCCGGATTATCCCGCAAACTATAAAGTCACCTAAGCAAGGTAGGAATTTTCCAGATACAGGTATAAGACAGAATTTATGCTAACAGATGTCTCTCTCTCCCTCCCTGCCCCCATCTCCTCCCTGATGTGCGCTTCCAGCTAAGGAAAGGTAAGCCACTTGAACGCTGCCCTGGCTTTCCCTGTGGCCTGGGACCTCCTTCTCTAGCCGGAACCCCCCTTTGAGTCTTTGCGTGCGTGCTGTGAGCTCAGGGCAGCTCAGGGGGCACATCCTGCACCGCCCTCCCGCTCCCTAGCACGCACGGCCCACACAGCTGCGCTGGGTCTGCCTGCTGGCTCTGTGTCCTTCACGTGCTCTCGTTTGTGCTTGTTAATGAGGTCTTAGACCAAAGCCACGAGGAAGCGGCATGCTTCGTGTTCCATCACGGGCAAAACCTCGATCTGTTCCTTTGTTGCAAAAAGGAGATCAAGGATCTTGTTTCAGCTTCGGCTTCAAAGAGCGTGCAGTGATCAAAATGTTGTCTGTTTTATTTTAGTTTCCAGGATGAAAATTTAGTTTTTGAGGAGTTTGCTCGCCAGAATCTGAAAGATACAGGAGACACTGAGGAAGGGAAGAAAGACAAGGATGACGCCAATGATGAGTGAAGACGTCGGCTCAGGATGTGTGGAGGTGGCCTGTAGTTACCAGTGCCACCAGCGAAGCCCCGCAGCGGGCCCTGCAGAGTTACGCTAAATACAAAATAACAGTCCTCTTCCCAGAAATAAAGCTTGTCCCTTCTCCCCTGTCATGAGTCAGGCTGACTTGTTGGGGAGGCCGAGCTGATGCCACTGACACAGAAGCTGCCACTTTCAGGGTCCCTGGACTTGGGGGTGGTGGGCAGCATCTACGGGGGATGCCAACTTCCACGGAAGGCTCGGCACTTGCCCGTCAGGGTGAGAAAGTGTCCAGAAATCAATGTACTGACTGGTGGGGCCTCGGTGCATCCAGGGGCTTCCCCAGGGGTCCCGGTCTGAGCTGTTTCTCTGGAAACATACGGGGGTGCATGTGTTTCTAATTACCTGACCAGCCCTAGCTCCAGGGCCCCTAAAGAGCCTCCTGAGATAAACAGGGCAGAGAATGAGTGGACAAAAATACTCTTTATTCCTGATTCAACTTTTGGTTCCAAGCCCCTGTTTGAGCTCTGGGTTGTGCAAGCAACAAAATCAGATTTGGTTCACTAAGTGGGGAAAAAGGAAGGAAGTGGAAGGACCCTGGAGCAGTGAGAGAACTGAGCTGGAGGAAGACCTGGAGCTGCCATACCTGGGGTGGGCAGAGAAGCTCCAGGGGTCTCAGCTTGGGAGCTCAGGGACCTGCTCTCTGGGGCCGCCATTCATGGGGCTCAGCACTAAGCCCTCCCCACGTCTGCATCTCCAGGTCCCGGTTTGCAGTTCCTGGGAAGGAGAATCCGACAGGCCTAGCTTCAGCCAGGTCGATTACTACCCCATGGCCAGTGATGGTGGAACCCAGCCTGGGAAAAGAGGTGCACGATGGGCCAAATGGGCTTCTTGGTTGGAGCATGCCTCACTGAGACTGGGCAGGGAAGAGGTCGGGGGGAGGACGCTTGGTGTCAGGGAGGCAAGTGGAGCCGTAGGAGGAGGAGGGATAATGGAGGTGATACTAGGACCCTGTCCTTCATGAAGTCCCATCCTGGTCTGTGGTACCCACCAGCCTGGGGCCTGCTGCTGCTGGCACAGAGACTGAACAGTGCTTGCAGTGGCCATTGAGGGGCTCGAGATGCGTAGGCTCTGGTCCATGCTTTTGGGGGCAGCGGAAAAGGGGTTTGGTGATTTCTCTACCATTCGACCCACCCACAGAAGGCAGTGGGTTGAAGGGGCAGGGGTTTTGTGTGGGGTGTACTCTTGGATCAGGCTTCTGGGACTGAACACCGTGGCCCAGGATTCGGGGGGCAGGTGCAGGGCAAGAAACAGCGTACAAAGGAGTTGAAGGTGCTGCACAGAGAAAGTGGTGGCTGAAAACTTGGGACAAAGTTCTCCAACCAGCAACCAAAGGGCTGGAAAAGTAGGAACCCCTGCCATTTATTGAGCACATATAATATCTAATCATTCCAACAACACTTGGGAGTCAGTCCTGTTATTCCCATTTGTTAGATGAGGAAATTGCAGTTCAGAGAGGTTATGTACTTTATTCAAGGTCACACAGCTAGTGATAGTCAAGACTTGAATGCTGGTTTCCCCGAGTCTATAAACAGACCTTTGCCCACTGTATGGTGCTGAATGGGAGTAGGAGAATTTGGCGGGTCCGAGGGGGGAGATCAGCATTTATGATTCAACTATGGCTGCCCTTAAGTTCTTTTTTTGGTTGAAATTTCTGAGATAATTGCACATTCACATGCATTCGTAAGGCATAATACAGAGAGATCTCTTGTGCCCTTCACCCAATTTTCCCCAACGGTAACATCTTGTAAAACCACAGTACTGTATCACAACCGGGGTAGCGACCTTGGGTACCGTCCACCCGTCTGATTCAGATCTCCCCAATTTTACTTGTACTCGTGTGTATATTTAGTTCTGTACAGTTTTATCACGTGTAGTCAACTGCTTTTTAGGGTGTCTGTTTTCCTACTCCGTTAACATTTTTTTTTATTGCTTTACTCCCAGTTTAATTTCACAGGCATGAACAGTTCAATTAATTGATCCCTAGGGGGTGGGGGTGGGAGTTGGCACGTTCAGAAATGTGTGGGGCAGGTTTTGGTTGTCACTGTGCCCAGGGACCAGGGAAGCTATATGGCACATGCAGTGAAGAAATGTCCCACTCCAAATGTCAGTCATAACCCTAGTTCAGGGTGAGACAGGATTATTCCCATGTTTTCAAGTGTCCCACTTATATATTCCAACATGAAGCAGTTCTTCTTGACAGGAGTTGTGCCTCTTCACTGACATGTCACGTGGAAGGATTAGCTTGGATGTGAAGTGTGTTATTACTGCCACCTTGATGTGCCCTCAAGGTGGGGTGAGCTCAGGGAGCAGCATTTTCGTTAGAGATGATTCACAGCGTGACTCATTCAATAAAGAGGCGCCGGAGGGAAAGTGCTCTTCCAGGCCAGCCGCTCTGGGGGAGCTGATCTCCAGAGTGACAGCACCGTGCGTGTTCGCCGGGGAACAAAAAGGCTTCTTCACTCCTCAAAGAAAATTTATGCCAGAGTTATGTTTCTCTGCCTTAACAATATAATATAACTCTTACCAAGCCTAATACCCTTTTGAAGTGCACTTTTCATGTCGAATAGTTTTAGATTCACAGAAAAGTTGCCAAGATAGTCCAGAGAGGCCCCCAACACCCAGATTCCCGTCATTCACGGCGCACCTTCACTTCGTGAATCAATACTGACACGTTATTACTGAACCGAAGCCCACGCTTTACTCAGATTTCCTCAGTTTCTACCTAACGTCCCTCTTCTGTTCCCGGATCCCATGTAGGGTCCCACGTGACGTTTAGTCATCACGTCTTCTGGGCTCCTCCTGGCTGTGATGGTCTCTGATACTTTCTTGGGACCGCAGATGTCCTTCTCTCCAGCCATGGCTTCTGCCTCCCAACTGTCACTTGTACTCACATTCATGTCCTTGTGTTTTTGCCTCTAAAATGATGAACCCAAATGTCCCCTGAACTTCTAACAGGTGTAGGCAACAGTATATCAGGCACCTCAAACTCAGCTTGTTGAAAAGCAGACTCCTTTATTTCTAGCTCTGTGCTTGCTTGGTGACGCCGTCATCCTCCAGAAAGCCTAGTGTGTGGGAGGCACTGCGACTCCCCCCACGCCCCCCCCATCTCTTGAGTAGGAGCCGCTGGTCCCTTTTCTTCCCTCTCCTGCTGTGTCTTGCACCTGTCACCTCTGTCTCCATGACCCAAATCAGCACTGCCTGGCTTGGTACTATCATTTTTTAGTGGCCTCCCTGTTTCTAGTTTTTTCTCCTCTGGATCCTACTCTGTCCAGATCTGTGAGCTGGTGAGCGTGGCACAGAAGCTGCTCACTCCCTGCCTCTCGAGCCCACACTGCCTTCAGCTCACCAAATCCCTTTTCACCCCCTCAGCTCACCTAGTAGCTCCTCCTTTTTGTATTTTCCTGAAAAACTCCCTTCCTTTCATTCCAACCCCAAACCCTGCTCAGGTTACCCTGCTCCCCTCTCTCTTTCCCTGCATACCCCCTTTTCCTCCTCCCCCCTTGAACACCCCTAGCTTTTTGCATTTATGAATCACACTATATTGTAATTAATTGATACAAAAGACCAAACTCTGAGGGGAGGCAGGACACCCTTTGCACTGCGTTAGCTTCTTAGAGCTAACAAAGTCCCACAGACTGGGTGGCTTAAACAGACATTCATTGTCTCACAGTTCTGGAGGCTGGAAGTCTGAGCCCACGGGGTCGGCAGGGCAGGGATGGTTCCTTCTGAGGCCTCTTCTTGGCTGTAGATGGCTGTCTTCTCCTTGTGTCCTCACTTGGGCTCCCCTCTGTGTGTGTCTCTGTCCGAATCTCCACTTCTTATAAGGACACCGGTCATATTGGATTAGGGACCAGCCCCATGACCTCATTTTAACTTAATTACCTTTTTAAAGACCCTAACTCCAAACACAGTCCCATTCTGAGGTACTGGGGGTTCGGACTTGAGCATGAGTTGCGGGAGGACACATCAGACCACAGCAGTGCCCTTTTGTCCTCTTTCTCACTATGAGCTCCTCCTGGGCGGGCTAGCCCCGCAGAATGGACTGGGGAATCCATGGTCTGAGTTCAAATCCTGCCTCACTGCCATACCTTGGGAGAGGTATCAGAACCTCAGGTTTCAGGGCCCTCAACATAGACCATCGCGCTGGCTCAGTGGGGCTTGTATGAGGAGTAGTATCACAGCCCAAGTCTCTGGCATGTGCCTGGTGCTCGGTACTTGGAGCTGTCACTCTTCCTTGAGTGTTGCAGACCTTTCTCTGTGATGGAAGTGTTCTATATTTGTGCTGTTCCATGTGGTAGCTGCGAAGCCACACGCAGCTATTGAGCACTTGAAATGTGGCTCATGTGACTGAGGAACTGAAAACTTAATTTTAATGAATTGAGATCTAAATTTAAGTCACCACATGTGGCTAGTGGCTACAGCAGGGGCAGCACAGCCTGGTCAACCTGGGGGCCTTTGGCTTGTCCTAGACTGCTCCTGTATTAGGCCCAGCCCTCCTCTGTCCTGGCGGTGAGGCTGTTCCCCTGGCCTCATCGCCATGCCAGATGCTACTCTGTGGCCCTCGGGGGTGTTCGGTTTGTCTTGCCTCTGGGAAGCATTGCCCAGTGCAGTGGGGGCCAGAGCAAACTCACTGGCAGGCTGGCTCTAGTACCAGCCCTTGGAAGGGCTTCGGCAGCCCCCTCTTACTTTGCCCCTCATAGCAGGGCAGAGAGGTGGACAGCATTTCCTCCTTCTCTACCTGGATGTCTCCACAGGCACCCAAAACTCAACTGATCTCATCTCCAAGGGCACCTCCCCCTCTTCTGCTCAGCAGAGGGCTGGACCCCCATCCACTATCGACCAGTTCCAGTGGAAGACAGGGGCCTCATCCAGGTCACCTCTGCTTCCCTCCAGCCCCGGTCACTCCTCTCCTGCATCTCAGTCCACATCTGCATGTCTCTGTCTCTCAGCCCTTCCCAGGGATCCAGGCGCCCACCTGCCCAAATGCTTCAGAGCCTGGATCACAGGCCCCAGCTTTGTGACCCAGTGCGGCTCAGCTTTAAGTCCCTCAAGGGCGTCCTGCCACCCT